CCCCTTACAGTCCTTTCGAGGGTGCCTGGAATGTGTTCGGGTCAAGAGACATGCGTTCCAGCGTGTTCTGTATGGTACGAAAACAGTGGCGGGAAGGTTCTGACCATTGGCGTCGGAGCTGCGAGAGCGCTGCTGCCAGGCTGCGAAGTTTCGACGGCTCACTCAAAGATTCTTCTTTTTCGGCAGGTAGCAGATTTAATGTTTGCTCTGTATTATTAACTGAAACGCATAGAATGAAATTCTTCCACGGCTCATAACATTTTGATTGTTGTCTGTGTCCCACTATGACATCAGCTACTGTTGGACAACTCTCATCATCTCTCGTTTCATCTTCGGCTTTTTTGACATTTTTAAAACAGTGGATCATCATCGAAGACGGCATCATTCTGCATAATTTTACCTGGCAGATGAGCCGAGCGCCACCTGTTAATGTCTCATTGTATCAGTTAAGTGCGCGCAGTTAAAGTTAGGGATAGTTTTTACAAGTGATTTGGATTATTTCAAGTGTCATTAAAATAGTATCGTAACCATTGACACAAATCATGTCGAAAATCAGATGGAGAAAGTATATAAATGTGAATTAAAGCATCAATGTAAACGGATCAAAAACACCAAATTTCAAAGAGCCCGCGTTGTTTTTTCATTACGTTTTTATTTAAACTCGTAATAGACAAAATTTTAAAGACACAATTACGCATGTAAATAATATTTTGTGAACAAGCAAGTTTTAAAGTATACTTTTCTTGCATTCTAGCTTCATAAATATATATCTAGATATCATGCGAACAGTCTACAGTTGACGGAATAACAAACAATTGTATGGAATAAAACCATTCGAGCACACGTTAGCGAGCTTTTGTGAAGTGAAAGCGAATCATTTCTGTATGTTACCCACCGACCACGCTCCTAATTTTGTTTGGCATCAGTGAGTGTGAAAAAGAACTGTAATTCGGTGAGAATTAATATTAGGGCACGATTCAGTGATAATTAATGTTATTAGACGCTGGAGGTCAACTGCATTGTCTCAGATTACTATTTCGTTGCTCCAAGAAGCCGAACGGCCTATGGACACTTCCTTTCCGCCTTGAAATTCGAATCTAGCCTTCGAGAGATCTCAACGCGGAATGACTAAACGCACTAGAATACCGAACCCACCCTACCCCTCCCCTCCAATGCCTGCTCCGCCTTGCTTCCATCAGCTTGCCGAAAGGGGTGGTAGTAGGGCCGATGGGAGCAGACGAGCTAGACGCATCCGAATTGCATTGCGTGGTTGGTGATTTCTAGGCCTTTGGCCTCCGCCTTCAAAAAGGCACAGCCCGATTGCATCACTCGTTGTTTTCCTTGAGTGAGAAACATTAAGAGCAAATTTGTT